GCGTCCCCGCGTGTGGGCCGTCGTGCTGTGGCGTCGCGGGTGCGCTGCGTCCCCCTCCTGAAGGTGCCCGGGACCCCAGAGCCCCACAGGCCGCGGCTAAACCACACTCCCGCGCGTCCATGCGCAGAGACAGAGCGGGAGAGGGCGGGAGTCTGCTGCTGCTGTCACGGGGGCTCTGGCGCCCACTGAGATCCCCGCCCGCCCCCCGCCGCGCCCGCGGGGCACTGGGCGGCCTCAGCCCTGGAGTCCAGAGCCCGACTGAGGTGGAGACTCGGGCCGCTCCTGTGTGGCCCCGCCCGGGCGCGGCGGCCTGAGTCAGCGCCCGCATGGGCGTCGCGGCCCCCAGGCCCCGCGCATGTCCCGGGGTGCCCACCCCTGGGGTCGTGCGTCTGGCTCGACGTCAGGCTGTAGGGAAGGAAAACATCTCTTAGCCAGTGAAAGACGGAAGTTTATTTGTGCAGCCACCTACGAGGGGGGCCCGGCGGGGGGCAGCCCTGACCCGCCGCTCGCCCGCTTCCGAGCTGTGCCCACCAGGCCTGCGGCCGGGAGTCGGGGTCTGGGGGCCTCGGGCAGGCGGGAGGCGGGGAGGCGCTTCTGGAAGAGCGGGAGGCTGAGCGGTCGGGCCGGGGCTCCAGGCAGCTCCGGCAGCAGTGAGGACGTGGTTACAGGCTGCCGGCGGTGGGGGGCACTGGCCGGGGTTCAGGTGCACCCCGGGAGTGCAGGTCGCTGAGCCAAGGACCAATGCAGGCAGGAGGCTGAGCCTGCCCAGCGAGGACGGACAGGCAGCCACGGCTCTGCCCACGGCCCCCAAGGGCCCAGCACTGAGCGCAGACGTCAGGGCTCCCTCGCCGTCCACCTCGGTGGCAACCTAGACTGGCTACGTGTCATCCGCTGGCCAGAGGCTTGCAGGAGAACATGACCCTGCCCAGGGGCCAAGACCACAGGGCCTGCTGGTCCCGGGGACTCAAGCTGGCCTCAAGGCTGGGGTGCAGTGTGACGTGACGCCTAGTACCCGCCGGCGAAGGGAGGACCCGGTGGCACCCCGACCCCTGAGAGGGGGCTGGACCGGGAGGGCAGGCTGTCCTGGGGCCTCGGTCCAAAGGGCAGGCGTGGTGTGGCCGCCGGGGTTGGCCTCCTGGGGGAGAGGAGCCTGACGGCCGCCGGGAGGGGTCAGCAGCAGGCGGGGCGCGGGCAGGCGGGCCGGCAGAGCAGGGACACGGAGGACGCCCCGCGG